GTTAATTATTTTAATTAAATTTTTTAATTTTTTTTCTTAAAAAAACGTGTAAAAATAATAATATAATTGAATAAACGAAAGTGTGAATATGCCGAACACTTTCTCTTTCTTTTTTGTTTGATAAAGATGCCAACCACCCCTTTGTGTGCTTTTTGATTGGGAGCACAAAGGAGCACAAAACAACCGTAAAACCCAGTAAATGATGTGATTGTTTTGTATTCTTGAAGTATGGATATTGTGGGGATATATTTTTTAAGTATCAACACGTAGCAAGGTGACGTCGATGTGTCAGCCGAGGTGCCACGTGTCCTGGTCATGACGCCGTGGTGATCTCGGTAAGGCTGAGGTTATCTCCGAAGATATCGGAATCCGACATAAGTGGATAAGGGACAAGAGTCCTAAAATGAAAAGGGAACTTAACCTGGATGAGGGACAAGAGTCCTAAAATGAGAGAAGATTTCAGTTTGTATTAAGATAAGACTCTCAGAGAGTTTATCATAATCTTACTGGGAGTCCAAGATTAGCAGTAATCCTGAGTCCATAGAAGTTATGCTTCTATTGGGACTAGGTTTATGTTGGCTATAAAAGAAAGGCACCCCCATGGGTCTAAGATATGCTTTTTAAACTCAAGCTTGTGAGTTGAATAATTGATTATCTTTGAGAGATATACTGACTTGATCGTCGGAGTGCCCCCGGGTGGACGAACCACCGCGGGATTCTTATATTTCTGTTGCAGGTCAGTCAGATGCCATTTATTCTGCCAGTGCTCTCCAGCTGGTTACTAAGCGGGCAGTGTGGTCAGAAAATCACTCACACAATTTGGCGCCGTCTGTGGGAAAGAAAGAAGAATAGATGACCAATGACGGACAGAAGGATCAGACTGGAGACAACGCTCCTGCTGGGAATGAGAGATCTATCAACCTCAACGTTGAAGGGGACAATAGCAACACAGAAACTCGTGACCAGAGTCACGGAGTGAAAGACACCGGCCAGGAAGGTGACGCACCAAAGACAACAGATCGAAGCGGATACTACAACGAAGATGACCTCCAGATATAGAAGAATAGATACCTGCGGAGGAACGAAGACCCTTCCAGAAGGGATGCAAAGACAGGGGGCATGAGCGCTCCCAAGACGATAACATTCAAGTATAGAAGAACTCATCCTGAGTGAGCAGATCCCGGATTCTAGATCCTGGATCCCAGATCCGAGAAGACATGATCTCAGTCTAGACAAGTAGGCCCGAGAAGACGAGAGCTCAACCTAAGTGAGCAGATCCCGGATTCCAGATCCCGGATCTTAGAAGACATGATCTCGGCCTAGATGAGTAGGTCTGAGAAGAGAAGAGCTCAACCTGAGTGAGCAGATCCAAGATTCTAGCAGACAAGATCTCAGCACTTAAGTCCGAAAAGAGAAGAGCTCAGTGAACAAATCTCAGATCCCAGAAGATAAAAAAGAAAACACACAAGGTTGGACTGCAGTTAGCCACGTTGAAGACCTTTTATAAGGTTCGCAAAAGAGTATGTGGAAGCCATGCAGGGGGCAGAGAGAAGAATAATATGTTTACCACTCGTTGAAATTTGTAGCAATTTACAAGTTGGTTAAACCAAGATGATATTTACCACTTGTTGAAATTTGTAGCAATTTACAAGTTGGTTAAACCGAGATGATGTTTACCACTTGTTGAAATTTGTAGCAATTTACAAGTTGGTTAAAATGATATGATGTTTACCACTTGTTAAATTTGTAGCAATTTACAAGTTGGTTAAACCGAGATGATATTTAACACTTGTTGAAATTCTGTGTAAATTTACAAGTTGAAGTTAAACCGAGATGATGTTTAACACTTGTTGAAATTCTGTGTGAATTTACAAATTGAAGTTAAACCGATGAGATATGTAAACACTTGTTGAAATTCTGTGTGAATTTACAAATTGAAGTTAAACCGATGAGATATGTAAACACTTGTTGAAATTCTGTGTGAATTTACAAATTGAAGTTAAACCGATGAGATATGTAAACACTTGTTGAAATTCTGTGTGAATTTACAAATTGAAGTTAAACCGATGAGATATGTAAACACTTGTTGAAATTCTGTGTGAATTTACAAATTGAAGTTAAACCGATGAGATATGTAAACACTTGTTGAAATTCTGTGTGAATTTACAAATTGAAGTTAAACCGATGAGATATGTAAACACTTGTTGAAATTCTGTGTGAATTTACAAATTGAAGTTAAACCGATGAGATATGTAAACACTTGTTGAAATTCTGTGTGAATTTACAAATTGAAGTTAAACCGATGAGATATGTAAACACTTGTTGAAATTCTGTGTGAATTTACAAATTGAAGTTAAACCGATGAGATATGTAAACACTTGTTGAAATTCTGTGTGAATTTACAAATTGAAGTTAAACCGATGAGATATGTAAACACTTGTTGAAATTCTGTGTGAATTTACAAATTGAAGTTAAACCGATGAGATATGTAAACACTTGTTGAAATTCTGTGTGAATTTACAAATTGAAGTTAAACCGATGAGATATGTAAACACTTGTTGAAATTCTGTGTGAATTTACAAATTGAAGTTAAACCGATGAGATATGTAAACACTTGTTGAAATTCTGTGTGAATTTACAAATTGAAGTTAAACCGATGAGATATGTAAACACTTGTTGAAATTCTGTGTGAATTTACAAATTGAAGTTAAACCGATGAGATATGTAAACACTTGTTGAAATTCTGTGTGAATTTACAAATTGAAGTTAAACCGATGAGATATGTAAACACTTGTTGAAATTCTGTGTGAATTTACAAATTGAAGTTAAACCGATGAGATATGTAAACACTTGTTGAAATTCTGTGTGAATTTACAAATTGAAGTTAAACCGATGAGATATGTAAACACTTGTTGAAATTCTGTGTGAATTTACAAATTGAAGTTAAACCGATGAGATATGTAAACACTTGTTGAAATTCTGTGTGAATTTACAAGTTAGATGACAAAGTTCAAGAATAAAGCCAAATGCACAGGCACTAAGTAAATATGTGAAGAACAAGAAAGTAATGACCCAGACACGATGCTAACAACAGAAAGCGGATATGACAAGAACAGTGCCAGGCATTCAAACAATTCAAAACTTGAAAACAGATGAAAATAGAAGGCAGCAAATGACAAGTAAACAGATTCAGAAGAATTATGAAAGATTGAGCTTAATAGTAAGTAAAGAATTTATGAACCTACCAAGTGAAATGAACAATTGGAAATCGGGAACTCACCAGAGAGTGTGAGTGGAGCAGTTGCAAAGCTCTTGGAGTTTACGAATTAATGGAACCAGAACCTCGGTTAGGAGGTGCGATTTCAAGCAGCTTGGAAAGCATGAAACTTGATTCTTGACACCAGTGGACAGTAAAGCCCAGGGAACTTTGAGGTCGGCGAGTTTGATCTCGGACAGAGGGGCACAGATGAACGAACAGTGTAGGTTCCATCACCTCAAAATGCCGAGGTAATAGAACCTAGGGGCAATTGTGAGGATATATTTTCTGAGTAACAACACGTGGCAAGGTGACGCTGACGTGTCAGCCGAGGTGCCACGTGTCTTGGTCGTGACGCCGAGGTGATCTCGGCAAGGCCGAGGTTATCTCCGAAGATATCGGAATCCGAGATAAGTGGATAAGGGACAAGGGTCCTAGAATGAAAAGGGAACTTAACTTGGATGAGGGACAAGAGTCCTAAAATGAGAGAAGACTTCAGTTTGTATTAAGATAAGACTCTTAGAGAGTTTATCCTAATCTTACTGAGAGTCCAAGATTAGCAGTAATCCTGAGTCCATAGAAGTTAGGCTTCTATTGGGACTAGGTTTATGTTGGCTATAAAAGAGAAACACCCTCATGGGTCTAAGGTATGCTTTTTAGGCTCAAGCTTGTGAATTGAAGAATTGATTATCTTTGAGAGATATACTGACTTGATCGTCGGAGTGCTCCCGGGTGGACGAACCACCGCAGGATTCTTATATTTCTGTTGCAGGTCAGTTAGGTGCCATCTATTCTGTCAGTGCTCTCTAGCTGGTCACTAAGCGGGCAGTGTGGTCAGAAAATCACTCACACAGATACTTAGGTCAAGTTTGGCATATTTTAAATAATTTATCTTTTTATTTTTTTTCATCACATCACATCTCTACTTTTCTGCACATCTTTTCGTAAAAAGATAAAAAGTACACTTATTTAGGTCATCCCAAACAACCCCTTAATGTTTTATAATGTTTTAATTGGTAGAAAGGAGTAGAAGTCTACTATTTATGTTAGGATGAGAAATAATATGAGACTAAATAATTGATGATTGACTTGGAATATACTCACGTGATATTCCAAAATTATTAAATAATTTTCCATAAAGTAAATGCTCATTCATTTCAAAATATTATTTTTTTTAAGTATTTAATTTTTTTATAGTATAATTATTAAAATTTAAAATTATTAATTTTTTAAAACTGTATTTTACTAATATAATTATTACACTTTAAAAATATTAATATTAATGAATTTAAAATAAAGACAAAATAAGAAATTTAGGTTATTTTAATCCGTAATTTTTAAAAATAAATTAATATTTTAAAATAATAAAAAAATAATATAAGAGACTAATATTATCAGATAGATAGAGTCCTATTCAAAAAATGAAAATAACCTCCCCCAAAAAACAAAGAGAAAAAGAAAAAGAAGAAGAAGAAGAAGAAGAAGAAAAAAAAAATCATCTAAAAAGGTCGCCATTTAAAGCTGACCCAAACGAGCCCTTAGTAGTACACCTCCCAATTCGATAAGTGTGATCGAGTAAAAACTACAGTCACCAGCTGTGAAGTTTCGTACGTGACGGCCACTGCATTCCAATTTAATGCAAATTGCAATATGAAGAGTTCAAAACCAAGGGGACCCATAAACCCAACCACAGTTCCACAATGACTTAACCACGGTTAAAAAGGCAGTTATATTCTCCACCCCCATGCCTTCTCTCACTTCACGTCCGAAACAAAGACGAGAGAGGACGACGACGACGATGATGATGATGATGATCAACAACGGCGATACTACTCGTTCAAATCCGACCGTCCAAGTACCCCCATGGACCCACATAGACGATCCTACGGTCAACATGCCCTCACCCTTCTCATCAATCACCAGCAATGATACTCCCACCACCTTCGACGCCGTGACGGCGGCTCTCCGCCGCTACCTTCCGTCGAACACCGCCGATTTTCACGGCGAGGACTGTGACATTCCGGTGGACGCGTTCGCATGCGATCACTTCCGTATGTTCGAGTTCAAGGTGAGGAAGTGTGCTCGAGGTAGGTCCCACGACTGGACGGAGTGTCCGTACGCACATCCCGGTGAGAAGGCTCGCCGCAGAGACCCCCGGAAGTTTCACTACTCCGGCACCGCCTGCACCGAGTTTCGCAAAGGTCAGTGTGTCAAGGGCGACTCGTGCGAGTTCGCTCACGGCGTATTTGAGTGCTGGCTCCACCCTGCTCGCTATCGTACGCAGCCTTGTAAGGACGGTACGCAGTGTCGCCGCCGAGTCTGTTTCTTCGCTCACACTCCTGACCAGCTTCGTGTCTTGCCTACTAGTCCTCGAATGAGTGATTCGTTCGATGGGTCTGCGGGTCGACTCGGTTTCGATTCGTATTTGGCTAATGGGTCTCCGCCGGTGTCGCCGCCGTCTGACTCGCCACCCATGTCGCCGAACTCGGTGAGTGAACTCGCTGCTTCTATGAGGAGTCTGCAGATTGGGAAGGTGAATATGAACATGAGTCAGCCTGCTTTTGGTTTTCAAATTGGTTCTGGGTTTTGCTCGCCCCGAAGTCCGTCTACTCTCCGACCCGCTTTCCGAAGCCTACCCACCACTCCGACTCAGACAGTGACTCGGTCCGGACTCGGTGTGTTTGATCTCTGGGAACAGACCTGTGAGGAGGAGCCTGTAATGGAGAGGGTAGAGTCAGGGAGAGGCGTCCGTGCAAAAATATACGCCAAACTCAGCAAGGAAAACTCACTCGGCCGAGGCGACTCGGCTGGTCCGGGTCCGGATATCGGGTGGGTTTCTGAACTGATTAACTGACTCGTGACCTCTATGGATCCGGTTTGATTGATTGTTTTGCGCAAATGGGTACGGGCCATTGCCGTTTCGGATCTTCTGGCTGACTTTGTGAATATTAAGACGTTTAAGCGAAGATTAATTGTACATTAATCTATGTATTGTAAATACGCTTTCAGAAGCAAGAGATTAGGGATTAATCTCTTTTTTGTGGTGCTTTAATTTTTGGAAGAAAAAAAAATGGAAATTCAAGTATGTATATGAACATGAATATGGATTTTTGTTGGGGGGTGGGGGGGACTGCAGGAGAAACGGTGTGGTGTTTTGTTGGTTGAATTATTATTTGGGTTCTCATGAATCGTATTTTTCTCGAATTTTCTTGTCTAATTTTCTTGAGAAAGTGATAAATCTTTGTAAACTGTTAATCAATATAATATGTTTCCATTTATGTTATCTTTACTGTTCCATGAAACCTTCTCTGATTAAAGAATCCAATGCTCTTGCTATTCGTATTCGACTCGCCATTTCCAAATTTTGGGAGCTCTGGTGGTGGAGAGCTGCCAAAGAACAGTAATGATGAGAACATTCAATTTTATTGATGTGACAATAAAAATAAAAAATTTATAAAATTACAAATCAAAATATCAAATCATAATAATAAGGTAGGGTCTACTTTAAAGCTTTCTCTAGTTCTTCATTTAAAGGTCGGAAATAAAAAAATAAAAAAAAAAATACAAAATTACAAGTGAGTTCTTCATTCAAAGGTCGGAAATAAAAAGTCGACAATGATACATAGTTTAAATTTTGTGGCTCAAAAGTTTGTGGCTCAAAAATGGCTCAAATGACCAAAAAGACGTCATTTTGAGTATAAAATAACATAAAAATATTCAAAACGACGTTGTTTTAGCCATTTGAGTCACTTTTGAGCCACAAAATTTGAGTTACGAAACATTTTTCATAAAAAAATTACAAAATTATAAATTAAAATATCAAATCGTAAACTAAGATCTACTCTTAGGTCATGTTTGATTCACAATACTAATAGTGAGGTATTAATAATCCTATTAAATTAGTGTGGTATTAACTATCCCACCCCTACCCCATTACTAATAATCCTACAAATTTGTTGGATTAATTATCCATTGGATTAATTGAGAAGAGTTAAAAGTAAAAAATTAATTTTTAACTTATTTTAAATTATATCATTTTTTATATTTTTTATACATAAAAAAAAGTTTAAAAAATCAAAACATTAACTTTTAACTAATTTCTCAAATCATCACTTCTTTCCGAGTTTGGCTAATTTGCCAAGCTTTGGTTAGATATTTGTGTCCAGATCAGACCATTTTTAGAAGGAGATATTATTCATTGTCTCGGGGCTTTTACACTCACCATTATTAGTTGAAATAATAGATCCACTACAAAGACAAGTGGACAAATTGTTCAAACATAAAAGCAGAGCAAGTGTCTCCGGCAATGAATAATTTCTCTTATAGAAGGGACAATTACACTGACACGTGTCATGTAATAAACAAATGAAAAGATTATAATTATAATTATTAATATTTATAATATTTTTATTTTTTTATAATTAATTTTTCTTGATTTCACCATTAACTTATTTTCCTTTTCTAAAAATACCAAATTTGTTCGTACACATCCAAAAAAATAATATCAATACAAAACAATTATGAAAGCAAAACAATTGAAGCAAAAGCATTTATATTGATAATATTTTTATAATTCAACTAAACAAAAATATTATAATTATAATTATTAATGTTTATAATATTTTTTATTTCTCTGTGATTAATTTTTCCTGACTTCACTGTGAATTTATTTTTCCTTTATAAAAATACCAAATTTGTTTGTACTTATCCAAAAGGATAAATATCAATATAAATTTTATCAACTATATACTTTAAGCAAAAAGTTAAAAGTCTATTATAAGTTATCATATTACTATTTTTATTTTTCTGAATTTTTTTTCATAAAAAATTATTAAAATAATTTGCTCTCAAAGGAGTCCAAAATAATTATAAAAGCAAAACAATAGAAGTACAAACATTTATATTGATACTATTTTTGTAATTCAATTATTTTGTATTGATATTATCTTTATGATAGAATTTCACATAAAAATTTATGAGGAAAAAAAAAAAGTTTGTATCATTGTTAAAATATAATATATTGACACTATTTATATCGCAACATTATATCAAAGTGTATCTAAAATGAATAATATTAGGGATCATGAAAAAAATATCATGAAATGTTTCATGAAGATTTCTCATCTTTTGATTAGTATGTAGTGTTTTTTTTATGTATAATCTAACGATTGAGAATCTTTCATAATCATTTTTATGATATTTTTTCATGATACCTAACATTATTGATTTAGAATTGATCTTCTATGGAAGTGTGGTGCTATTTTTTTCCGACATCAAACAGATTGCCCAGCGTTTGAACTTGCTGTTTTCTTGGAGTCCTAGAGCAGCAAACAAAGCAGTGCATTGGGTGGCCAGGCTTCTCTCAGGAATGCTCTTCCCCTATTCTAGATTTCTTTTCCTTCTTTGGCTCTTGCTGCGTTCATAAGGATGGCCTGGGTTTGTTTTGTTTGGGTGTGTTCCTGTTTGTTTTCATCTGATCAAAAAAAATAAAATAAAAAATCTCTGTCAAAAGAAGCCAAAATTATTGTTTGATATTTTGAGGGGAAAAAAATATTTCGGCTATCTTCTTCTTCTTTTTTTTTTTTTTTTTTAATTATCCATTGGATTAATAATCCTAAACCAAAATGTTAAAACAAACATGAGATAATTGGGCCCACGGATTAATAATTCTAATCCCATGCTCTAATCCACCCAATCAAACATGCCCAAAAAGTTTAAAAAAAATCTAATACAATTAATATATCAAATCCACCAAAACCAAGCTTATCCGGCAAATAACTCACCACCACAACCTCCATAATAGATAAGAAATAAGTAACTATCACAAAACGGTATGACTCTTCTCCATAAAAATTGAACTCGAAACTTCATACCATAAAGAGTGCTATACAACCATTAATTATAGGGACATTTACACACATATCCTAATTCATAAACTTATACTTCATAAAATTTTAATTAATATTTTTTGGACTTTCAAATTTCATTAAATTTTTAATAATCGGAATTGCCTTTAAAACAATGATTGTTCAACATTTATGATTATTTATAAAGGAGTATAATGATTTGACATTTATTTTGATTTTCAAAACTTTCAAATTGAAAAACTAAAAAAAATTATATGAAAAAAAAAACTCATTTTTTTTTTGAAAAAATTAAAAAAACTGAATTATTTTTTTTTTTAAAACTGAAAATTTTTGTATCTACAAAAGAGTACGATGATAGAACACTAATGTGCAAAACTAAAAAAAAAAACTTTAAAATGAAAAAATTGATAATGTTTTCATTTTTCAAACTAAAAAAAAAAAAAAACTGTTAATGTTCTTGATTTTATTGGATAGTTGAATCAAACCAATAAGTAGAAGGGCAAAAACGTTTAATCTCATTCTCTGTTTTTTTATCAGTTAGTGGAACAATTATCTGAAACATTACTTACAAAATTGATAATGTTATTAGTTTTAAAAAGAGAAAATTAGTCTAAGGTCTCTTTCTCATTTTTAGTAATGAAAGTGATCCACAATATTATCTTATAATGTCAAGGTCTCTCAACCCCAAACCCATTTTTACATAGAAATTTGACTAACTCAAATCAACTCACCGATCTCGATCTCATCATCATCATGCGCTATGCGTAATCATCCTCTGTTTTGATTTTCTACCTCTTCGCTTCTTCATCTTCTCTCTTGTTCTTGTGTGTCGTGAACATAGACCAAATCGACGAGTTGTTTCGATTTCTTGGCGCCAGATGCTTGTTGCTGACTCCGACGAATTGAGAACAAAATAACAGAATCGCGACAGATCGAGAGCGCTGAAACGAAGGCTCAGTCTCTCTCTCTCTCTCTATATATATATATCTCTTAAAGTCTTTTGTGTGTAACTGTGCATAGAGAGAGAGAGAGGAAGCACTAGTTGTTTCTCTTTGAATCTTCTATAAAATCTTAATACCAGAGATCTTAGATATTATGAAAATATTAGATGTTCTTTATGCTATAAAATCTTAATACCGGGGATCTTAAAAAAAAAAAATCTCCTTTTTAAAAAATTGAGAAAAATTGATAATATTATCAGTTTTACTAAATAGAACTTGTTGGTTCAATTTTTTTTAAGCAAAATCTGAGCTATCATAACATTTGTAAATAGAACTTTTAAATAATTAACTCCTAATTATATCCCAACATTGTGGAGTTGGATTCGAATTACTCTTTTGACCTATAGGTTGAATTTGGCAAAATTTTATTCAAGTATAACTTCCATTGCATAGATCTAATGTGGATTCGGTTCATTAACGGGGAAATAATAAATTAGTGGTATTTTTAAAAAAATATGTATAAATTCATAATAAATTTTACACACTTTAATGCTAAAATCACAAATTTTTTCTTGAAATCATAATTATTTTAGAAAAAAATATTGATTTGTAAATTCTCGTTCATTAAAGCCCCCTGCAAGCAAATCTTATGACAAACACCTCTCCAAGGTGTGTATCATATGTATCTTATCACAAATGACGTAATTTTATTACAAAATTTCGTAATATCAATCACAAAGTGCGTAATCTCACCACAAATTATCATAACAAAATATCCAAAATTTTGTAGTTCATGTAACTAAAGTTTGTGTTTTGGTTAGGATATTTTTTGTTACATTAATTTGTGACAATGTTTTGCATTTTGTGATTGATGTTATGAAATTTTGTGATAAAATTATGCCAAGTTGTGGTAGCGTGCATTTGATACACACCCTTGGAGGGGTGTTTACGCTAATCTGAAGTAAAGGTTGTTGCCTAGCGTTAAACAAACACGTTAAGCAGCATCAGCCGACAGATTATGAGAATATCTGAAGTCAAATATTAAAGTTTTGGCTCAAAAGTGGAGCAGATAAGGCGGTGATAGTCGAATTGATGATGCAAACATCAAATCTAAGTTAAGGATTAGAGAAAGATGAGAGAGATAAGAACGAGATCAAAGAGATGGGGGAATCACTGTTGTCTCTCTCTCCTCTTGCATAAAATTCTAAGAGGGATTTTTAGTGTGAGAACTTAAATGTGATTAATTTTTTTTAAAAAATGATATTTTTATTCAAAAATTTTGACCAATTTTCTTACTTAGGTTAAAATTTATTGTAATAAGGTTATTACCGTTTGTTGGCATTCAACTAAAAAGTTATATTTTTAATTTTTTTTGTTTTAAGTGATTTTTTTTTTTTAAATCGTGTCAAATGTATTATTTTTGTAGTTTTTATTTTATTTTTCGTTAATATTCTGGGAAAGAAGTTAGAGTTGTT